ATGAACTCTTGTGTCAAGTCATGAAAATGTAATAATCTGCTGAAGTATTTGCTCTCATCTGCTTCAATANGCAACTTTGGGTAACTGATGAATAAATTAGTTGTCAACTATTAAATTAGTCTTCAGCTAATTTGATAATTGAGTTATTTTTTGATGAAGAAATGTGAAAATGGAATATTTTCTGGTTTCTGTCCTCCTCTATGGCAGTGAACTGGATATTTTTGAGTTGTGGACAAAGCGTTTGTCATCTTGGAAATTCTTTGTAAACGGATCGACTAATCAATTAACTGAGAAAACAATAGAAATGAGAAAATAATTGAGTTCATTTGCAACAATAGATAACTCCATCTTCACAAACCCACTTTCCCATCGTCTACCTGAGACAATATCAATCAGTTATCTCTACTTTTGTCATTTCTACTCAGTCAAATCCACTCAACTCCAGTTTGATTGATATCATCTCAAGCAAACAACAAAAAAGTTTTCTAAAAAACTACAAAAATGGAGTTTTTGCAAATGAACTCTTCAGTTGTCGGTCACTGCCTTTGTGTCAAGTCATGAAAATGTCATAATCTGCTGAAGTATTTGCTCTCATCTGCTTCAATAATATCCAATAATATAAAATACTTAAATCTCAAGGGAGACTTTTTTTTTTTTTTTTTAATCTCTGTCTGACCTTTTCCCAGTTTTCTCCACTTGAGCCAAAGACACATCAGCGTCTCTGCATGATGCTGCACTTCTGCAAACCAAAGTGTTTTCTCAAGGTCTCATTACCCATTCAATTCAAAGCATTGTCTCTGCGTGTCTGCGGCGGCGACGCTGCAGCTTTAAGGGCAGAAGGGGCTGCTGGGAAACCAGTCGGGGTGGAGGTGGTGGTGGAGGAGGAGGAGGGTGGAGGGTGGTGATGGTGGTGGGTGGTGGTGGTGAGGGAGGGGGGACGGGCCCTGCAGGACCATTTGTGCTGAAGCTCATTTGCGCAGCGACACTTAATTGGCTACAACAATTAATTAATGTGTTGGAAAGTTGGCACAAAAAGTTCATTTAAGAGGGTTTTAATAAGCAATTAGAGGAAAAGCAGCGAAGAGGGGGAATTACTGGAGAGGAAAAGACGGGGAAAAAAGGCGGGAGACGGAGCGAACGTCTGGCCACGAGGAGGTTTGCGGCGACGCTTTGTCTCCTGCAAACTGACCCTCCACTTTTTTTTTTTTTTGAAGAACGATTACATCTCTCTGTGAAGCTCCGAGCGCTGGTTTCCTAAGTGGACCCGACGCCCGTCATGCCCTTATATTGTGTACACATCAACCCCGGTGGCCCCCCGCCGGCCCCCCGCCAACCACCGCCACCACCTTCTCCTTCTTCGCTACCTCTTGTCCCGGCGTTAAAATATCGCATGACTAATGAGCGGAGCAGGTTGGAATCCTGGGGAAGATGTCCTTGGAAGACGAATGCATTTTCAGCAGAATAATTAACTTAATTAACAAATTCACATGCATATTCATCAGCCTATTAATGTCTGCTCCGCGCTGCTTGATGAGCAATGCAATAATAACCGTTTCATTTGCATATTTGCACTCACACCCTTCTCCAAATAATTAAGAAAAAAAAAAAAAGAAGAAGAGGAGTGTAAGGAAACTCTAAAGACTAGAGTCACTCTGCAGCCACTTCTCCACCTGCAGCACATCGATCTGGCTTTTGCTAACTTCCTCCAGCCTCCTTCCTCTGCTGCTGCTGCCTCTCCTTCCTCTTCTTATTTATTCATCCCTATCAATTTATTTATCTCCTGCTTTTTGAAGTCGTCTTGCCTGTCATGTGCGTGTTTGTTGCTGGAGAACGGCAAAGAAGCAGCGAAATAAGCAAACAAACGTGGGGTTTGTTTGCGTCATTTTCCTTCCTTGATTTCGAGGGGTTCGTCTTCGCCTTTCAGCAGCCGTCACTGATGAAATGTGTGTTTTCCTGAGCGGATCTCGTGTCACCGATTGCTTCTTCTTGTGTGTTTTCCAGCTCCTCTCCAATATTACACATGACAGTGACGCCAAAGAGAAACGTTGCATTTAAACCGGGTTGCATGTGTGTCTTTCATTGCCAATTTTTTTTTTTTTTGGAGAGGGAGGGGGGGTTACACTGGTGGATTTGTGAAACCAAGAAAGTGTGTGTGTGTGTGTGTGTGTGTCTGTGCTGCCAGCTTGTGTTCAGACAGCAGCAGTTTGTGGAGCAAGAATTAAAAGTAGGGAGAGATGCCAAGTGAGTCCCTGGAGACAGATATAGGGGACAGAGAGAGAAGAAAGAGGAAATAAAAAGGATTTCACACACACACACACACACACGGGCGCGCTCACACACACTCGGAGTCAGTTACACAAAGAAAACTAGCCGAGTGCGAAGCTACACACTCGCACACGTTTAGGCTTTTCAAAGAGGTAATAAAGATGATGCCTGTTGTCTTATCTCTCAGATCATCTCAGGAGTTACGTCCTCATCACAGTAACTTTAAGCCTGAATTCAATCCTGACTTTGAGGCTTAAACCTCTGAACCCCCCCCAAACCCGTCAGCAGCAGGTTTAAAAGTCGTGTTTTCTTTTTTAAAAATCACCAAAATGATGTAATTTATCAGAGCTAACGAGTGTAAAAGCAGAGAGAGTTATTAGATGTTTATCATCTGTGACGTGGCATGAAAATGAACCAAATCTCAGTTTAGGACTGTGATATTTAATCAGAAATCACTTTATTCTACAGGCCTCATTTAGAAATGCTCCAAAAATAAAACATAAAACCATTTCACGTGTTTTTTTAATGCCCTAAAATTGTGAAAATGTAAATAATAAAATAAGTATGATACTTGTAGAGCACGTTGTCTACAATTCTTTCATCTATCAGACGCTTTAATCCAAAGCGACGTACGTCTGAGAGCAGATACAACACAAGCAAGGATCTAGTCAGGAGAAAACAATCTAGAGAAGTGACATAGAACAAATGTTGTCTTTCAAAAATACCTAAATGACACAAATTATCAGAGCTATAAAGTCAAATGTGCCAGTCTTTGAACGCACCATCATGTATGACGTGTGGTTCCATCAGGAAAATTAACCACATCTCAGGACTTTCTTCTACATGTCTCCTCCAAAGAGAAACCAGATCCTGTTAAAACCTAAAAAGAAACCTTCAACTTAACTAAGAATTCAGAGTTGAACTGAAGACAGTGTTTCCACTGAGAGACAGTAGGAGAAATTAGGAGCTAAATAGAACATATTTGATCGATAAAATAAACGCAGTATGGCTCAAAAACCAGCTTGGTATCATGAAAAGGCTTTTTTTTCCACTATTGTTTGCCATGTAGTTGAAGCTAATGCCTCTTACCCTAACTTTAACCACTTCACGCGTTGTTTTAATGCCATAAAATCAAACGCAAAAGCTTAAAATACAAACGACACATGAAACGTGGCAGATGTGACGTGATGTTTAAATTCCATGATGTTACTAAAACAGCACACAGTGGAGCAAGTTGTCTGCAAAGTTGTTCAGCACAGTGAAACATCTCTGAGGAGTTGATGTGCAAAAACAGAAAAAAATTGTTGGATTTTAAAACTTTGGACAGTCCTTGAATGTATCATAAGTGACGAGCAGAAAGCTTAAAATGAGTAGAAATGACGTGGAATGTGGCAGAAGTGTTTAAATTCCACAACATCACGACACAAAAACAGAGGAGCAAGTTGTCAGCAAAGTTGTTGGACGACACATTCGGCACGGTGAAACGTCTCTGAGTAGTTGATGTGCGAAAAATGTAAAGTCTGTAGAAGTTGTGAAAATGCAAATAGTAGAATATTTATATAGTATTTAATGCGTGATGCCTTTTAAAAAATCGGTATAAATCCAACCATTTTTCAGAGCGAGAAACTGTGAAAACAGAAAAACTTGTTGGATTTTAAAACTTCGGACAGTCCTCGAACGTATCATACGTGACAAGCAGAAAGCTTGAAATGAGTAGAAATGAAATGTGGCAGAAGTGTTGTGCTGTTTAAATTCTACACTATCCCAGTACAAAAACAGAGGAGCTACTGGTCAGCAAAGCTGTTGGACGACACATTCAGCACGGTGAAGTGTCTTTCCAGAGTTGATGAGCAGAGTTATGTGGAGATATACGTCGTAAAAATTGTAGTAAAAAAATTGCACCATTTACTAGAGCCAAGAATTGTCTGACCTTTCCTTGAACGGTTCTTACATTATTCATCTGTGATGTCAGTTAGAAAATGTAAACAGATCTTTGCTTAAAATTGTGCTATTTTATCAAAATCATTTTATTCTACATGTCTGTTTTGAAAATTCTTTAAAATCAACTGTGATATTTGACCATTTTATCATTATTGCAAGGCCTGAAAATTACGACAAGCCTAAAATGCAAGACGTGAAATGTGCAAAATGCATAATATCAGGATGCCAAAAGCGTTAATCAGAGGAGCAAGTTGTCAGCAAAGTTGTTGGAGGATACATTCAGCATGGGGAAACATCTTTGCAAATGCAAATCCTGTAAAAAAATATAGACAGTAAAATATGTACAGAGTGTGTGTTGTGCCGTGCAGTCAGGACACTTAAACAAGCCAAAGCTTTATATTGTATATAATTGTAGATATTTCATCCAAAATGTACAAAAATAAACAGATATGGAAACACATTAAAGCTGTCAGTAGGAACATCGTGTGCAGAATCACCTTTATTTCCAGTATTGGTGACACCTGTTTGGACAAAACGTTGTTCATGTTGATTCCAGGTTTTTCCAAATGTACTTTTTTTTTGTGGCATTATCAGCAGATCGTCCTGCACAGACCACATCTCTGAGTTCTCCTCCGTCCAGCCACAGATGTTGCAGTAAAAAAACACTGACAGATTAGACCTCGAAGCCCTCACAGAGACACACTCACAGTGGAACAAACACAGACTGCAGCAGATCTCTCACCTTTTTTCGTCCACTCTCTCCTTTTTCCCTCGTCTCCTCTTCTTCTCTGCAGCCTGGTGAGGTGACACCCTGGTTGCAGTGTGACACCGAGCTGTCACCTCCCACCGCCTGCATCGCACCTCTGCCCCCTGCTGGGACGAACCCGCCACGGCACCCGGACACCAGGACGCCCCGCCGGTCCTCCTCATCATCATCCTCCTCCTCCTCCTCCTCTGCTGGCGTCAGACCTCAACTTTACATTCTGTCACGCACTCAGTCAAACTCCTCGACAAGAATCTCGGTAACTGTGTCTTTCTCACTTCGTCTCTTTAAAAGACGGTCAGTTTATTTTGAAACGCCTCCTTGGCAGTGACCCCTACTCACAGGCTGGATGGATGGCACTGGAAACAGTGGCCCAAATGTACTCATTTTAAGTTGCAGACATTATTCTGATGAGATGTGTTCACGTAGTGTTGCTGATAATTACACCAACTTGAATGTTTTGTGAAGTTTAAACTCAAATTTCTTTCGTTAATTGATTTAAAACTAAATTTAAGTTGTATTAAATGAATTAAACTGGCTTGGAAATGTGATTTTTCATCTCCTTCAGTTTCAAATCCAGTCCAAAAACGTAAAAACTTAACTTTATGCTCCCTATTATTAAGTAATTTAAAATATCTAAGTCTGCTAACTCAATTTAGTTTGTTGGTTGAGCAAAAACTTCATGAGCGATCATCAAAACAGCATTCTGAGAAGTACTTTAGTGGACTTATTACTGCCACTCAATTCTCAAAAAGATAAAAAATTGAATTTATTGATTTATATAAACTGTTTAAGTTGCAAACACTCGTAACTGAACTCTGAAAAGTAATTCAGTAATTACAAAATTTAAACATTATGGGTAATTCACACTCAACATCATGCCTTATGTGATTTAAAAGTAAATTCAAGTTGTGGAAAAATGTTCAGGACCTTATAAGCGTTATTTATGCTACCAATGATTAAGTATTTGTTCATTTGAAATGCCATTGGTTGAAGAGGAACTCCATATAGTTTGTTGGTTGAACATAATTTATTAGAAGTTGTCATAACTCCAAACTTTAGTGCAAACTGTTGCAATAATTTGTCATTATTAGTAGATTTTTTTTGGGTTGTTGTTGAGCCCAAACATTTGCTTTTAGAAGTGTGTGACTTCATCTCATGTTCTTTTATTTGAATAAATGAGCATTCGTGCATCATGATTTGTGCGTCAGAGGTCGAAATACCAAAAACACACAAGCACAATTTTACACATCAAATATTTATGCTGCTTGGCTTTTCTTATTATTTAATATTATAAATATTCTTTACATATTTTCCTGCACTTAAATATACCCCCTGAGCCCTCAAAGCTTGTTAACATTCAGGCAGAAGATGTCAGTTTTGGCAGCAGAATGAAAAAAGATCATCGGCAGCAGTGACAAATTGTTTGACCTGCAAGTTGGAATAAATTGGACAGGAGCCACGTGTTTTGCATTGCTCTGACGTAAAACCTCTTCAGCTCTCTTTTTGGCTTCTGTCATGCAGGTTTGACGTAATAGACACTTTAATTAAAAACGAGAAGTCAGGCTGAAATGGTGGGAAATAATTTGGCATCTTGGGGTTTTTAGAAGAGAGAAAAATCATGTGTGAGCTAAAATATGTGCACCTTTGCAACCTTTATTTTAAAGATGTTGCTGCACTCTGGGAACATTCTGAGTCATTCACGTCATCAGATTATTTTAGCAGTTTGCAGACCTGGTTTTGTTGTTTTGTTGCTTGAAGTGACGACCAACGCAGTGGATCTCAGTGATGCGTCGAGATGAGGACGGTGCTTTATGTGTGTTTTCTACCTGCGCGTCTCTCCATCTTCTTGAGGCTGCGTTTTTTTCTGATTCACAAATTGGAATAAATTGGACAAGAGCCACATATTGCTCTGACGTGAATCCTCGTCACTCTCTTTTTGGCTTCCGTCGTGCAGATTTGATGCCATAGAAATTATAGATTTGAAAAAAAACAAGCTGAGATGCTGCTGAATAATCTGACGTCTGCAGGAGCTGCTGTCATCCTGTGTGCAACCTTTGCACACTTTACTGCACTCTGGGAACACTTTGGAATCATTTAGGTCACATTTTCCTGCAAATTTCTGATTATTTTTGCAGTTTTTGATTGCAAATCGGTTTACGATTCTGTCATGCATGTTTGATGCTATAGAAGCTGTCATTAAAACAAAAGCTGAAGCTGAAATGCTGTTGAATAATTTGACATCTTGGGGGTTTTTAAAAGAGAGAAAAATCAATGCATGCCTGTGCCACAAGCTTTATTTTGGAGATTTTGCTGCACTGTGGGAACATTTTGAGTCATTCATGTCATATTTTTCCACAAAATTCAGATTATTTTTGCAGTTTGCGTTCACATTTCTGAAGCATACTGACCTAGATGCAGGGATTTTGCCTCTCACTGTTACCTGAGACCCGATTTTGTTGTTTTGTTGCTTGAAAAGAACAACAGTCCAATCTTACATTTAATTAAACAACTAATCAACTCAATGAAATGCTGTTAAATATTTTGACATCTTCAGGAGCTGCTGTCCGTCTGTATGCAATCTCGGCATCTTTGCAAGCTTTACATCCCTCCTGGAACATTTTTGAATAATTTTTCTGCAAAATTCACATTATTTGTGCAGTTTGCATTTTCTGTACCAAATTGGTTTGCATGCAGGGATTCTGCACCTCATTCTTCAGTCAGAGCTGCTTTTGTTGTTTCGCTGCTCGAGGAGAAGAACAATGCGGTGAGTCTCAGTGGAGGCGAGGACGCCGCTTCGTCTACCTTTTCCTACCTTTCCGAGGCCGGTGTGTCCGGCCAGGCGGGCCAGTGGCGAGCTGGGGACGGAGCGGATTGAGATATAGAGCATTAGTTGGTGTCAGGAGTAAATTAGAGGCCAGATCTGTTTTCTAATCAGAGCACAAGCACCGTGTTAGAGGAATTAGGGCGACAGCTGCTGGGAGCTTTTTATTCCTCTCTCTCTCAGCCAGAGACAGGCAGACCCCAGCTCAGGGACCACCTCTTTACCACAGCCACCTGTCAACACCGGTGCTGGTGCACGTTTGTGTGCGCACATGCGTGTTTTCCACCCCCACCGCAACATACATGCGAGCCTGCACACATGCTTGCACACAGACACACAAACACCGTCTGGTACGCTGACCTCCCTCCATCTCTGAAATTAATGACAGTGCAGGTTCCGTGTGCACGCAGCCGCTCGTGGTGTGTTTATGTTTCCCGACAAGTGTGAAAGGCCCTTATGAGATATCAAATTTAGAGAAGGTGGAGCGGTGGGCGGCCTCGCATATGTCTGTTTACTATGAATCCCTGCAAAGGCCTCCATGCTGCGGATATTCCAGCACATCAGCCTCGCAGGGGAGGCAGAGATGCGACACCGGAAGTTAAAATCAAGTGTGAAGGTGTAAATAAACATCGTTTCCATAGGTTGACTTGCAACAACCAACCTATATAAATTTCTGTCTTAATTGATTTAAAGCTAAGTTTAAGTTGGAATAAATGAATTAAATTAGCTTGATAACTTGATTTTTCTTCACCTCGTGTTCAGGATTTCAATCAAAAAATTGCTGTTGATTGTAGAGGAAAAGCTAATTCTGCTAACTCAGTTTAGCTCGTTGGTTCGACATGATTTTAGAAGAAGTTGTCATAACTACACTCTAAAAAATATTTCAGCAGAACTGTTATTGCCACTTAATTACAGTTGCATGATAAGTTTTTTTCTTTCATTGGGTTATAAAGACTTGTTGCAAACATTATTTTAATGAATCGCGTTGACATACTAATGTTGCATCAACCTCACATCATTTAGAATCACCAATTAAAACTCAAAATGTTTTGGACTGTGTGGGAGGAAGCCGGAGAACCCGGAGAGAACCCACGCTGCACGGGGAGAACATGCAAACTCCACGCAGAAAGATCCTAGGTGTCCTCACCAGGACGCAAACCGACGACCTTCTTGCTGCGAGGCAACGGTGCTAACCACTGAACCACCTTGTTTGGCATAATAATAATGTTGCATCAACTTAATATCATGTGTAATTTCAACTCAAATTTCTGCGTTTTTGAATTAAAACTGAAGTGCAGTTGCAGTAAATTAATTAAACTGGCTTGATAGCTTAAACTGTAGGATTTCCAGTAAAAGCTTATCTTTGTCCTAAAGAGTATTTTAAAACACTTTCGATTGTAGAGGAGAAGCTAATTCCTCTACAAGTTGTCGCAACTACAGTCTGAAAGGTAATTAAGTTGACCAAATACTGTGGGTAGCTGAAACCCAAATTTCAGCATCCATCCATCCATCATCTATACACCGCTTAATCCTCACTAGGGTCATGGGGGGCTGGAGTCTTCCCCGCTGACTTAGGGTGAAGGCAGGGGACACCCTGGACAGGTCACCAGTCTATCACAGGGCTACACTTAGAGACAGACAACTTAAAACTAAATCCAGGTTGGAGTAAATTAACTTGAAGACTTAATTTTCACTGCGAAGGCCTCGATGCTGCGGCAAGGGGAAGCAGACTTTTGGCACCAGAGGTTAGAATCGAGTGTGAAGGTGCAAATTAAATCAAGCAAAGTCTAAAAAAACAAAAAGAACAATTTTGCTTTTAAAAAAGAAAACAGAAAAAAAACAGTCTCCAATTCTCGTGATTTGAACAAGTGTGTGCAGCACACTTCTGAATGTGTTCCATTGCAGCACATGACGAGCGACTGCTGCTCCTGATCATGATTGACGATGGCGCCGATGAATAAATGAATGTCGTGAGCTGCAGAGATCTGCGGTGGGCCGGATTGTAGGAGGGTGAGAGGTGTAGGAGGTGGCATCGACATTCACACCGTGTCACACACTTGCTTCGGAAATGTCACCTTTTTTTTTTTTTTTCCCAGTTCTGCTGAATCCGTAGTGTGTCGAGTGTTTTCAGGTAACGAGAGGAGTTTGGAAAATTTGTTGTTAGAGTGAAGCGTCTTCAATGAAAATAGTTTTTATTGTTTTTAACGTGATTGGAGACAATTAAAAAAAGATTTAAATTGCATTCCTGCTCGTTCGCTTTTGACATCTGTGTCTTTTGCCTTTTGACATTTTGCACATCTGCAAGCTTCTTAGTGACATTTCAGTCTTTAAAAGTCACCGATCTCCTCCTTCTCTCTGCTTTATCCTCATTCAGAGGGGTTTTTTTTCCCGCCCAGGAGACCTGATGAAAACCTTTCTCCCCCCTTGTTCGGCCTTCACGTGTCTCTGGAGTGCGGGTTTTTGGATCTTCCAAATCCTGAAGCAAAAAAATTAGACCTTAAAACCTTCTGTGGGATTTTGACACTTCCATAGTTATGCATTTATGCTCTTTCCATCCTTTTTCATTATTTGTGACGGCAAGATTTCATGTGAATTGGTAAAAATTGGTGCCATTTTTAACGTAGTTTGAGAAAGAACAACATCCTGTGTAGCTTCTTAGTGTCTTTTGGCTGTTTTAGTTCTTACAAAATGATTTGTTAATTCACCAAGAGTCC